TTCTCTCTCTCTCTCTCTCTCTCTCTCTCTCTCCCCCCCTCTCTCTCTCTCTCTCTTTCTCTGTCTCTCTCTCTGTCTCTCTCTCTGTCTCTCTCTCTGTCTCTCTCTCTCTGGATCTACCCCCCTCCACTCTCTCTCTCTCCCTCCTCCACTCTCTCTCTCTCTCTCTCTCTCTCTCTCTCTCTCTCTCTCTCTCTCGTTCTCTCTCTCTCTCAACTCATGGTCAACCACAAGTTACTCTCCATCTCCACTCTGACCGTATGAGCACAAGCAAACAAAACAACCCCCCCCCCCCAACAACAACCAAACTAACCTTTTGCGTATATGTGATGTTATAGAGCTTGGTAATGAAATCCCCATCTGTACACGTTCCGTAAGGGTCCTTTTCTCGAACGATATTCACCTGAAAGACACAGACACGTTATCCATAATACACACACGTAAGACGGAGAGATAACAGTTGCCATGATATTTACATTCATAGAAACATCGCTACCTCATAGGTTCTACCTGACATATTGGGCCGTTTTGAGTTACTAAGACTAGATCTACATGAGATCAAAACCCAAATGTTCCACCTTCTCGATCAAAGTCGTAAGATTATTCGGAGTCGTTTTCAAGATAAAATTCAACTAAATATTTTTTACGTCAAATTTCTCAAAAACTAGGCCCTGAGCAGATAGAACTTTGTAATTTTGAGGTTGCGACTTCTATTATCTATTTGTGGTGGCCGAATTTTGCTATTCAAAAGGCTTTTTAATGGCTTCATCGATCGACTTGCGGTTTTCGCCTAAAGATTCTTTAAAATATTCTACAGATCATGACGCCCTTCGTTTTTTCAGTTTTGATACAGTTTTGCTGCAAAAAGCTACATTTCTTTATTTCGCCGATCGCTTCTGTATCTGTAATTTTAGAAAATGCGATGCGGAAGTGATATTTCGCGACCCGCATTTTGTTTTGAGAGTGTATATCTAGATCTAGATCTAGATGTTCTAATTTTTTGTATCTCTCAAGATTTATTGCTCCATTCCAGTAGAGTGTAAATAAAGTTGGCCAATGACTTTCAATTGATGTTAATGCACCGATCATTCCTTTCATCGAAAGGGGACCCAGCTAGTACATTCTAACTCAGGATACTCATCACCATCAACAACATCGCTTTTCTCACCCTGGACCAAGGTGTTGTTAGTTTGTTTTCAGTAGAGGTGTGGATGTTAACAGAGAAGTCCTTCCCTACATGGAACCAGGCTTACTCTGCTTACCTCTATAGCTTCAACAGCACAAAATCTGCTTCGACTATCGAGGCACCCCGGAAATAGCAGGTCACAAGAGTGTGACAAAATAAAAGAAGTAAAGGGAAATGACGATAGTAAGGATAAGGAAAGAAAAAGCAGCAGTTCCCTGTTGCAGTTCAGGCACAGTTATGAGCATGACATTGATGGATCAGCCCATTTACAATTCTACTGTGCATTAGAACGAGAAATATCCCCCTTTGGGAATGGTCGAAAGACACTTCAGTCAGTGGCACTGCCCCCCGGGGGGGGGGGGGGGGGGGGTAGGACCAAGGTGTGTACCACCAACAAAACACAAACACTTTTAAAAAAAAAAATAAAAAAAATAAAAAAAAAAAAAAAATAATAACAAAGAAGATATTAAGAAAAAAAAAATCAG